AGCGCGGGCGTGATAAAAAGGTTACCTCGCGCAAGGCCCGTGCCTCGCGCGAGGTGGGCGTCGAAGCGATCGTCGCTTCCCCCCCGCGATCTTGTCCCGGTGGCGTTCCTCGGCCACCTGGAGCTCGCGGGCGGCCAGTTCGGCCGAAGCAACATTCGGCAAGTTGAGCTGGTCATAGCACGCGAGAGTCTCTAACAACCTGCATGCGCATCCGTGCGAGTCGACATGGGGATCACCTGGCTGAAATTTGCAATCTGCTCGCCATCTATAGTGGCGCCCGAGAAGTGTGCGCCCGTTTGACGCAAGAAACCTGCAGACCCATAAACAAGTTCTAGGCCCCCGCACGGGCCTGTCATCCCGCGCGTCGCGCGTCCTCCGTGGAGAGCGACGCTGCGTCCCTGAACTCCCGAAAACGACCGCCCGTAGCATCGCGCAGCACTGGGCGCGCCCGAGCGTCGCCATGAGCGCCGACGGCCGGGGGAGACGCAGCTGCCGCGGCAGGAAGAGGCGGAGGGGCTCCAAGCGCCGCCGCGGCGGCCGGCGCGACAGGGCCTCCCGCCCCCGCGGCCTGAGCGGGAGGGGCAGCGGGCCCGGGCGCAGGGCCGAGGGCAACAGCGAGACGTGCGAAGCCCCCTCCAGGGGCGGGGACGGCCCCGCCCCCTCCAGGGGCGCCGGCCGCGGGCAAGAGGGCGGGCGGGCGCAGCGCCGCCGGCGGGGCCGCCTGCCCACGGGGGGCCCGCAGCGCCACCAGCAGCAACGCCAGGGGCGCCAGCCGCTGGACCTCCCCCCGCGGCGGCCGGGACAACCGCAGCGGCAGCTCCCCCTGCGTGTGCGCCGGCCGCGGGCGCCCCGCCCACCAAGGGATGGGCGACGCCCGCCGGGGGCTCCAGCCTCATTCGGCGGTGGCACTGCGCGCGCGCCAGGGTGAGCTCGGCGACCGTCGGCAGTACGTGGGACCGGTGGTGGGCGGCGCGCGGACCAGCATGCGCCGCGATCGAGTCTGGGCCGGGGGGCCTGACCCAGTCGAGCACATCCCCGCCGCGCAGCAGCTCCTCCTCGCACTCGTCGCGGTCTGGGGTCATGGCGCCCACGCCCACGAGGTAAGTGGGCGGAGTGCCGACGCAGCACCGCACATGCCAAAGCTCTGGCCCAGCAGCGGTGCACCGCATGGCGAAGAACTCCCCCTCCACAAGGCCGAGGGGGTGGCCGCCAGCGGCTGCTGCCGCCATCGCTGCACACGCGCAGCCCGTCGGGCGCGAGCGGCCGCCGACAGGGCCCGGGCCAACTCCGCGAGGTCGAGGGCCTCGACCGCCGGCGAGGGCCCCGCGAGCTGCTGCGTCGCCTTCGAGCCAACCTGGGGCGCGAGGCGCTCGAACTGCAAGCCGATGAGGATGCCCGCGCCCAGGGCCCCGGCGAGCAGCCCCGCCTGCTCCAGCGCCGGCGGGCGCTCGTGGATCACCTCCTTGAAGCTGGTGGGCTCCACTGGAGGACAGTCGCAATGCACCGCTGGCGCGCAGTCCGGGCAGCCCTGCCGACTATGGGCCAGGAGAAGGAGGCTGTCGGAGACCCCTCTGGCGAGTTCGGGAAGGACCTCGCGCGCCGCCTGCCGAGGGAAGTGCGTGGGCCGTGGCCTGTTTGAGCCTTGAGAATTACGGGGCACAGTTCGAGCGCGGCCAGATCTGTCACTACTTGGCTGAAAGTTGTGTAACATCCATATATATAAAATTGTGTGTATCTGCTATATATATATGCTATATATATAATATATATATATATATATATATATATATATATATTCTATGATATTATCATATATATACATATGTATATATATCGATGTGGCGGTGGCTGTTTCTTCGCTCATTTTCGTTTGCCGTCTCCCAGGCAAGGGGGAACTATGTCTTTATATTTTTTGGGTTGGTTATGGTATTGCTTTGATTTTTCCGAGTGGATGTTATTTCATTTTTTGTTTCGTGTTTACACACAGTAATATAATGTGCCGTAATACCAATGCGTTTTTTTTTTTTTTTTTTTTTTCTTCACACGAGATTCAAGAGGTGATGTTGTATATAGGTACGTGCGTTTATTATAGCTTGAAATAATGCTACCTCGATTGCAACAACATTTTTTTCGAACAGAAATCTTTTCAGCATGTTTCTCACGTTTGCAAATCGAAAACGCAAATGGTCATGAATATAAACTTAATCATTAAATCTAAGGTTTTTACAATTAAAAAGATTGTGTCTCTTATTGAAGCGATTTTCCGTTTAGTTAAAAATTTACGATTCCTTTATTATTTCTATACGACAAGACTGGTCTTCGGGTCGTGGGATAACAATTTCTATTTTATAATGGTATTTGGGATTGCCCGGCATGGCTTAGAAATTGAGTTATCGTGCCATCCCCCATCGCTTTTTTGTTCTAAGAAATTGATTTGCACGCGTGGCCGTACCTCAAATTCCTATATATATATATATATGTATGTAGTGTGGTTTTCGCAGACACACCCGTCGGCAATTGGGTTTTAATCGTTCACACAACCACAAAATGCATGACATGTATGCATGTGCGAATGCGCCATAAATCACATGTATGACGGTTTCCAACAGCCTTTGAAGGAATTTGTAGTTTTATAACATAAAGTCCTCGCATAATGTTAAAAATGGCCCGCACCGAACAAATCAAACGAGGTATTCGCGAAATCCGCATTGAATCAAAACGTTAAAATTGCAGCGCCAAGTTGCAAATTCGCCACGCGGAAAATTGGTTGTTTAATCGTTCCATATGAAAAACACGCGGGGAAATTCCAGAATTGAAGGTTCGTGATTCGTGAATTCAGTGTTCGTTGTTTTTGCAGCACGAATGGACAAGTCTTAATAGCATTAAATCGTTTATCGTAACTGTTGCGACGCATCAGATTTAACAACTAACTGTTCGTTGCATTTTACTCCAAGGCTTCGTTTAGAAAGAAAAATATGCTAGTTCAGAATGTTATTGCTGTTTCGATTCGTAACCGGGGCGAGGTGACTCGACAAAGGAGGGGAGAAGGGACCGATCTCTCCCCATCAATACATGCATACTTCTGGAGCCTCGAAATTGTATGAAATCTTCGATGGGGCGGTTCACCACTAAGGCGTCTTGTGCAATAAATGGAAATTGGCCCGCCAAATTCGCGGCACCGAGGCCCGTAATGTGCGGCAAACAATGTAAACTTTTGCGGTGATTGTCTGATGTGCGAGATCCAAAGCTGCACAATTCGTATGTTCACCCGGTTTAGCAAATTGCGAATCACAGACCACAAATTACGCGCACGCGCACTGAATCACAAACAATCATTACCGCACGCGCTAAATCGCAGACGACAAATATTGTATCACAGATTGCACGCGACGAATCAGACAACAAATCTTGAATCACAAACCGCGCGCAACGAATTACAAAAAAGCGCACTGAATCACAAACAGCAAGCGTGATTATGCTTACTTGTTGTATTGTTGCGTTGGCAAGGGAAACAACATTTTCTTGTGATGTCGGTTGCCTGGCAATTTCAATTTTGGAAATGATCCCATACTTCCTGTAATACTTCCGGCAATCCAACAACGTCAACGATCTGCAAACAACAAATCTGATATTCCGGAATCATACTTTGTCCGCCATTCCAAAAGCATGTGGGCCGACTCTGGGAACTATCATGCCCGTTATGGAAACAAACTTCGCCCATTCCAAATTTGTTTCGCGCATTCCTGAATCAAACACAAATTGTTTCAGAACCAACCTTTCGCCTGGCAGCGTCGGATTTGGTATTCAAATAACACCACGCAACACCATTTTCACGCATCTTTGGTTTGCACATGAATCCTTACACCAATCAATTCGTGGTTCTTTGGATGCCGTAGCCATGGAAAGATGTATACATTAACGTCCGATTTCTGGTGTCCGACATCTGCCGATCAGAGAGAACTGCAACCGGGCGAGGGTGATTTTTGGCATGGGCCTCCACTGTAATTTCGGCAACCATACGCACATTGTGAATGCTAAGTCGCTGCACCAATTGGCACTGCCTAATTGGACGCGGCGTCGCACGCTTCGCCTGCATTCGTTTTGCGAATACGCTTACCTGGTGCGACGCTGGGGGCCACAAACCAAAAATGCCAAACCAAATTGATAAGACTTGTTCGAACGGGGGAGGCATGAATACCCGCCACCGTGCCTTGAGGCACGAATTGGTGTCCTCAATTCCCTGCGATTTCTCTGTATGAAACATTGAAAATATCCTGCAAGGGGCTCACAGCCCGGATTTCAGGACGCTCCTGGGGATCCCCCGCGCGACTCTTCCAGAGGTCAAGAGCGCGTTGTTCGGTACATGTATATCCAACATGGCCTAAGATGGCCCCGAGGATCGTCCTGGAGCCTGAAAACGGGCCGTCCTAGAGGTCCTGAAAGGCGGCCCAGAAAGCCAAAATCATCAACATCCGTCGGGTTGTGCATGGTTTAGCATTGCCGCTTGGTCCTCCGAGCGTCCATGACGGCCCACGGGGCGCCCAAGATAGCTCCGCACCAGAAGCCACTCCAACGAAAGGTTACTCTGAGGTGTCAACTACACGCAGCCTTGGCGAGGACCTTTTATGCGCAGCATATTCGGGGGCCGCGGGGAGCCAGATCCAAATGAACGACGAAAAGAAATAAATTGTACGCGAGATGTCATGGCGATCTCACGCGGGGGCTTTCGCGGGCCGCCAGCGTGGCACACCGCGTGGAGAAGAGGGCACACACGCGCGACATTACGCGGGAAACTTACGGATTAATCTCCGCGCAGCGCAGACGGACCCGCTTCTTACGTCGCCCAAGTGCGCGAGCCAATGCTGGGGGACCTCTGTTGGCCCGCACCGAAAGGTCACTCCACCGAAGAGCCACTTTTGCGCGAGCCCGACAAGTGCCGCTGCCACGACCCGGCGGCCACGGCGGACTGGCGCCCACGCGGCCCGAACGCCTGCGCCGCCCTACGCGACCTCGGCGGCGGCGTCCGCGGGCGGCGTCGCAGCTGGCCAGGGCGGCCTCGGCTGCTCAGGAGTGGAGTTTTTTTTTTTGCCCAGACATGCCCATATATATATATATATATATATATATATATATATATATATATATATATATGTGTGTGTGAATGTATACATCTATATACATATATATCTAAGTACATATAGATATGTATATATATGTATGTATTTTATATGTATATATATATATATATATATATATATATATATATATATATATATATCTTCTGGCAAGGCTTCGGGCTACGCACGGACAGCCCGCTCCAAACCCAGGCAGACCCGGCTGCCCTCGACAGGCCCCCGTGAGGAGTCCCATCTGGCCTCGGCAGGTTCCCCGAGTGGCCCGAAGCGGTCTTGGCAACCTGGCGCCGTCATCCCCCCCGGGGAGGGCACTCCGCGCCCCGGAGGGTCGAGGCATCGAGACCGCCCTGAACTACCCGGGGAGGCTGCTGAGGCCAGCCAGCTGGGGCTACTCGGGAGGCCTGCTGAGGCCAGCAAGGACTGACTACCTGGGGGGGCCGTCGGTGCGCAGCCCAACACCTCACCAACCTCTCGGATGATCGGACATTGGCGGGCGAGACCGAAATCGAGCGGAGTCGCTCGACCGGGACATCGATTTCGGTTCGTGTCGTGTCGTGCGTGACGCGACGTGAGTGCGGGCGGTGCGAAGCTGCGCGGGTTCCTGCTCTAGCGGTAGAAATCAAGTCGATATGTTGGTTGCGGTCTGTGTGCTGCTGTGTGCGGCTGTCCCGATGTTTGTGTGCGGATTGTCCCGATGGTTGTCCCGATGTTTGTCCCGATGTCCCGATGTTTGTCCCGATGGTTGTCCCGATATTTAGTTGTCGCGATGGTTGTCCCGACGGTTGCCCCGACTGTTGTCTTGATGGTTGTCCCGATGGTTGTCCCGATGATTGTCCGGACTGTTATCCCGATGATTGACCCGATGGTTGTCCCGATAATTCGTTGTCGCGATGGTTGTCTCGACGGTTGTTCCGTTTGCTGTCCCGATGGGTGTACCGGCGGTTGTCCCGATGACTGTCTCGATGGTTGTCCCGATATTTGTTCCGATGCCACAATGCCAAGCACTGGGCTCTGCGATGGCATATCAAATGTTCGCTCTTCGAAGCCAATGACACAAATTCATGCGCCCTGCCGGCAACACATATGGCCATGCCTACATTACTTACACATACATTGCACAACTGGCAAAAGTTGGAGCGACAGTGGCTAGATATATGGATGTGCATCTACACATACATACGTATGGACAACTGTATTGGTCAATCAGGGGCCGCAAGATAAATGAGACCAACAAACAGATGATAGACACGCGGAACGGTAGAGGACTATACATACATCTATGCTTGGCGGACTCCTGGGCGCCAGCCTTACAGATTCACAGCACTTTTGCTCCAGACCGACCATGCTGACAATCTGTGTGATTGCGGCCCAGAGCCGCTCGCATCTAGATGCCTCAGCCTCGCAGAGGTTTCCACCGCGAGGCAATCACAACTCCAGTGCAAGTGTAGAAAGGCTCTAACAGCAGGGTGGGACAAAGGGGAACCGAGGGAGGGAAGCTTGAGCATTGATGCAACAACGGTCGCAACGGCGCCCTCTCATCCTAACTCGCAGAGAACACCAGGCACGCCAGAGCAATCTATGCTTGGCGGATTCCTGGGCGCCAGCCTTACATATTCACAGCACTTTTGCTCCAGACCGACCATGCTGACAATCTGTGTGATTGCGGCCCAGAGCCGCTCGCATCTAGATGCCTCAGCCTCGCAGAGGTTTCCACCGCGAGGCAATCACAACTCCGAACCAGAAAGCAAACACTGAAACTTTGCGAAGCTCTCACACTGGCCGTCAGGCCACATATCTAGTTAAAGCACAGAAAGCTTTATTCCGCAACGCTTGTTTGTAGGCTCTACCAAGCTCCACGCAGAGCCCTCTGGGATACGGCTCGGCGATGTGGGTGAGAAATCGCCCAGTACTGTCTTTTCCTTCGAGCACCCTGTGCGGGCACCTCGAAAAACTGCAAACGCCGCGGCCTTGGCACTGGGCCCCTTTGAGCCCGGCAAGGTCGAGATGACAAAACCGAAGGCGGGTTCGTTTACGCCACGGGGTTCCGAAAGCGCAAAAATCGACATCTAGATCGAGCGCGTTACTGGAACGGGCGAGCGCTTTGGCCCCAGGGAGACTCCAAAGCCAAGAGGTCGAAGGATTCTCGATAACTACAGGGACTTTAAGGGATCTGCACCGGGAAAAGAGGCCAAAGCTGAAACGGGCTAGACGGTTACCACGGGCAACCTTCAGACAGTCGGCGGGATTCAGGTGAGGGAGTCCGAGGGGGTGCTCAGCGTCTCGAAGCGGCGGAGGTCCATTAGGCCGATTACGAGCTCGCGACATTGACTGACACGGAGTAGCTATCCACACACCTAGGAGCATCTTGCTTCGCACCCAGCCCCTGACCAACTTCTGAATTTTGCTAGACAAGACCTCGGCAGCAGCGTCATGAATAATGTCCAGTTCGAAGCAGGCGAGATCCCTCAGGACTAACCGAAACGATCGAGAGAGGTTGCCGCTTCCACTGAAAACTTCCAGCATCACTTGCTGTCCAGATTCGTTCACAAATCGAGCTAGGTCGCGCAGAGGGCGGCGCCAATCGTACCGAGGCTTCGCCTCGCGATGCCCCGAATGTGGTGAGGGAACATGTTCAACTGTTCTTGAATCCGTCCTGCCTTGGTGCACCGCCTCACGGCCTGATCTGTAGCCCACCGACCGCTCTTTGTCACCTCGTCTTGGGTGTGGGCCCGCACCAGCAGCTCGTGGCTCGCTCCTTCGTGCCGGAGCTGGTGACGGGTCAGCGGCAGCAACGGCTGAAGACCACTGTCTCTGGCCGCGGCGGCAAACATGGCGTTCCACTCGCGGTGCGACACGGGAAAGAGCGGGCTGTTCCTGGGACGCTCGCACAGCAGCTTTTGGAGGAAGCCCGGTAACCAAGGGAAGGCGGGGCTGTCTAACAGCAGCGAGTCGTCGTGCACCCCAGTCTTGCTTGCTACCCCGCCTTCCCTCGGATGAAGCGTCACGCTCCAGGTCCCGCGCGGGTCTCCGTGCAGCACTGACGGCGGCGCCAGGCTGTTGGTGGACAGGGGGGGCGCCTCCGACGGCCTCAGGTGCAGGGCGAAGGCCACGGCCGTGAGTTCTGCCAGCGCTCGCTCTCTCGCCTGGACTAACGGGCGGATGACAAGGCAGCAGGCGGCCCACGGCAGCGGAAGCCTCGACCGAGGCGGAGCCCGCTTGCGCCATCCCCGAGCAGCTCGGGTCGCACACGGCAGGCTGCTGCACTTCAAGCCCAGGTGGCGCCCCGCGAAGGCCAGCGACGCGAAGAGCTTCCTCGCGTCCGTGCTCTCGCCCCCCACCAGGAACTGCTCGCGGAAGTAGATCACCAGGGTCTCGTCCAGTTGCTCCTCGGTCACCGTCTCCAGGCGCGAGTGCTCGGCCCAGAGGTAGAAGCTGTGGGCTCGCCTCTCGCAATCCCGGCGGGTGGCGGCGGACGCCGACTCCTGCTCCAGAACCGAGTGGCTCTCTCCGGGCTTCGGAACGATATCCCGGCTGTAGCCCTGGCGGCGCCGCAGGCGCCTGGCAGCTCGGCGGTCGCCCTCCACGCGAGCTCGGACAGCAAGGCTCGTCGTAGAGGCTGAGGCCCGGCGGCGGCGAGACGAAGCCACGGCCGCGTTGGTCCTCGGTCCTCCCCGACCCCTCGGCAAGCCGCCCGTCACCTGAGCAAGGGCTCCTGCGCCTGGCATCCCCAGCGGCCGCTCGATCAGCTTCAGCTGTAAGGCCAGGCCGATTCCGCGAGGCTGAGTCCGCACTGTTGTGCTCAGAGGGCACCCAGCGCCAGACGACGCCACAGCCACTGCACAGCGCCAGCGCTGCGACCTGACGGCATACTCGCTGAAGCGGCGCCGATGAGGACCGGCCCTTGAGCAAAGCCAGCAACGGGGCCATAGAGTCATTCAGGATGACATGAGTGTGTCTGAAGTTTCGAGAGCTCCGAAGAAGGTGCTTTAGACAGCTGACCAGAGCCCTGCCCTCAAGGATGACCTGGGGCTCCTCGCGCCCCCAAGGCTTCGAGAGAACGCGCTTCCAGACACCACCCCAGACCTCCCTCGAGACGCTCCTGAACTTGGCCTCTGGGGGCTTCAGGAAGACCTTGATGGGCTCCTCGAACAGCAGGCCATGCGAGGCCTTCAGGACATGGTAGGGCTCGGTGAACCCCGTGCTCGTCTTGGTCTCCTCGGTCTCATCCTCCCACATGCCGATGTCGAAAGCTCGGGGAGGCATCGACTTCTCGTTGTCTCGCCCAAACCTCCATCGCTCGTTGAAGGACGACAACTCGACGACCTGATCGTGCGCGAAATCCTTCTCAGTGATTCCAACCCCCCACCACGAGGCGTCCACGCAAGAGACCACCTTTGAGAGAGGCCTGCCCGCGTTTCTGAAACATAGGACCAACAAGGACTTACACCACCGCAGTTCACGTCGAACGGATCCCCAAAGACGTAAAGACCTATGACCTGCCACGCGGTACACGGCACCCAGAGCGCTCAAAAGTTCCCGCCTGATGAGGCCCCGAGAGGTGTAGTGCGATATGACCCTCCGGAGCGTGTCCCCAGTACAGCGGTCTTGCCTCAAATATCTCCTGGATGCCCAGACGCGACCTCCACCGTAAACGAGGATTCAGCCCGATGACAGCATCATTCGAACCAAACTGCCAGCCCAAAGTCTGACCACCTACTCCCTCCTCGACCTCATGCGTAGGCAACCCGACTCGATTTAGTTCGCGGCCCACGGCCCTGGCGATGTCCCCAGCGCGCTCCATAGACCGTGACAGTGAGACAAAGTTGTCAACGTACTCAGTGTGAATGAAATCATTGCTCAAACTCAGGGCTGGTCTACGATCAACAAGGAGGTTATGTGTACTGATGCCCGGGACTAGAG